ATTAGTAACCAACAACACCTAACAACTGAGGAGAAGCATCCAATTAGCCACCAACAGATTAAAAATTAACACATGCATACACATTTAATTAACAATGAAAACTAATCAAGACTTCGTATTTCAATAATATAGTGGTTACCATAGCAGCCACGCAACTACAAAGGTTGCCACGGTTACAAAGAGGGACTCACCGTGAACTGGGATATCGTACTCAATTTGAAGAGTGCACAGTCCATCAACTGATGGGACCAGTAGCTGATCGGCCTCACTCCTGGAGGCTCCTCTCATATCGACACCATTAATCTGTAGGATCCTATCCCCGGCTCTTAGTATCCCCTTCCTACAGGTGACATCATGATTATAATGAGAGAACTGAGAGACTATTACCTGTAGGCATAGGAGCCTTGTTTAACATGGGATACGGTAATAGGTCTGTTTTCTAAACGACCACCTGGAGAGAAGAAAAGGGGGAGAGGGGGAAAGAGAGTGAGTGAGAGAGAGAGTGTATGTTCTTGTTACTTATATTCTTATGCTTACCGCTAATGACAAAACCAGGAAATAGACTAGGATCGCACGACATTGTTATGAATGCTGTTTTTAACTCCATTCCATCATCTATCTTCTGTATACCTAAAATAATAACAATAATATAATAATAATGTAATCTTTTAATTTAATAATGACATTAATTGTTTCTTGTGCTGCCTTTGATGACAAATTTTATATTAAATTATCAAATTCATGAAAGATAACATTTACTATTAACCAATTAAACCCATGTACAAGACGTGTGTGCATATGCACCTTGCCTTCCTGTCTCTTCTCTCTCTCTCCCTCTTTTCCCTCCCCCCCTCTCTCTCTCTCTCCCTCTCTCTCTCTCTCTCTCCCTCTCTCTCTCTCCTTCTTTTTCCCTCCTTCTTTCTCTCTCATTACAATGTTCTACCTTTAGAAGATGTCTCAAAAGCAATCTCGAGGTTAACAATGTTCCCAGAGTTCTCGAGTAAAGCAACCACCTCAGAATTCGTGAGTCTCTCAGTCACGGTTCCATTAATGCTCAGGACTTTATCTCCAAGCTGCAGAGCACCACTCCTACAGACAAGGAGGAGGAGGAGGAAGAGGAGGAGGAGGAGGAGGAAAAGGAGGAGGAAGAGGAGGAGGAGGAGGAAGAGGAGGAGGAGGAGGAGGAGGAGGAGGAGGAAAAGAGTAAAGAGAGAGAGGGTGTTAGAATATGTACGTGTACACTATTACGAACAATTTGAACAAGCAAGAAGAATGAAGAGGAGAGAAAAGGGATGGCAAGGATCAAATTACACTGATCGATCTAACACATAACATCAAATTAGTATATGTACAAGCACACAACTTATAACCACCGCTACTCACATGTAAGCCACGCCTCCTGGATAAAGCTGGGCTACTTTGACGGGTTGATCATAATCTGTACCTCCTAATATTATAACGATTGAAGGAGAGAGGGGGAGAGAGGGGGGGAGGATGAGAAAAGGTGTGGAGAGACATAAAAACAGATTTGTAATCAATACAGTTATTAAACAAACATATTAACAGATTTATTTAAGGAGCATATTAACATACGTAAACACAACATATGATAGTATTCTTGTCTCCATCTACCTCCTTTCCTTTTGTCCATTTCCATTTTTCCCTCTCACTCTTTTTGACCCCCTCCCTCCCTCCCTCCCTCTCCCTCTCTCTCTCTCTCTCTCTCTCTCTCTCTCTCTCTCTCTCTCTCTCTCTCTCCCCCTCACCCTCTAGTCTCAGTCCTAGTGGTTCATTGGTACGTTTAAGTAGCTCAACACAAACTATCTCAGCTTGCAATGGACTGCTTCCTGTAGGAGAGAGAGTCAGAGAGAGGGGGAGAATATTTTAATTAATAATAAATTGAATTAATAAAAACGGGTCACTTGACATACCTCTGTGTGCAACAGGTGAAGTGTTAAGATCACTGAGAGAGAGAGAGAGAGAGAGAGAGAGAGAGAGAGAGAGAGAGAGAGAGAGAGAGAGTGAGGAAGTCATAAAAATACAGAAATACGATTACAAAAACAACACCATATTTGCTCAAAAAAATCCTATTTGCTCAAAATAATATCATTAAATCATAATAATTACATAATATATTGCAGAAAAACAAAATGCACATAGACACACAATTGTTCACACCAGAGAAATTAAACTTCAAAAATACATTTATACATTTAAACATACTAGTACATGTATACTCTCACATACTTACATGTTTGTACCAGCAGAGCCTACACAAAAGAGAAGACGGTCAATAGTAATACCCAGGTTATAAGAATGAGCTTACTTCTTCTCTCTCTACCAGCAGAGAAACAGCTAAAGAAAACCGCCATTATCATCCTTAGGCTGTAGACGGAAAGCTTCCAGCCTTGTCCTCTATCTTTCACAGGCCCTCAGCTTCATAGAATCCACCAGAACGTACAAGGATAATTTATATAATCTCTAAAATAAACAAAAATAAAACTAACATCGCCTCCCTACGAGACAAGATGGCACTACTTACTCTTTAGTATCCGGAATTTTACAAACCAGGCTTAGGGTATCCGGTGTATACCCACGTGGAACCCACCATGGAGGAGGAAGAACAAGACCTCTCTTACAAGCTTAGAGGCGAGAAGTCTCTCCCCTCAGCCATTTTGTTGAGCAAATGGTCTCCTAGAATGGACGTTATCGCTTTGGCACTTGAAGATGGCTCGGTAAGATATGAGAATAAATGCCACGCCTATTTCTGGAGGTGTGGCTGCTTGTAAAGTATATTACAGCTATGATGTTAACACTTTGTATATTGATTTGTATGCACGTATTGGAGGGTATGAACTAGTGATCATTGTTAGTTTTTCACAGGTTGTTCTTCAAAGGTTGTCGTGGGATTCCGTTTGGTCGGTGGATCCCGGAGATACGCCCGTTAATGCGTTGTCATGGCGACCCGATGGGAAAGGTAATAAAGTTGGAATGTGAAGTAGTGATGTGTGTCATGATAGTTACATCATCATTGCTGGAATTTAGCCAATTAACATTATTAATTGTATTTTTATTTTGTAATGGTGATACTTGTCAAATGTTTTTATTATCAAATATAGTATTGAGTATTCTTATAGAATTTCTTCTTGTAACTTGATCCAATACATAATTACACGTACATGAAGCCACAGAACTGCTGGCCCTAAACTACATGTATCTACATGTATTCGTATCATGTCTCATTGGTCTCAATATAAAATGACTGCCTGTATTATTCTTATTATTTAAATTATAATAATGTCCATCTGCACTATGGCATCATTGGTATGCGTTTTAGCAGCACACACCCAATGCCAATTATGCATAATTGAATTAATTATAATTATTATGATTATTATTAAATATTTTAGTATTGGCAATCGGTTATTCTGATGGTGTCTTGATTGAAGTGTCTATTGAGAAAGGCGAAATGCTTCAAAAACTCAAACTAGGCTCTTCTAAGATTACCGTTCTGACATGGATAGAGGCCCCTCCCCCTGCGACCATGCCCCCTTCCTCTTCCGTTTTGCTCAATAAGTATGTAATATCTCTGATATTTCCTTTTGTTTTTATAATTGCATTATAAACATTTGATATCATATTTCAACCATCATCAAGCATCATTATCCTTATTATATTATTATTATCATTATTATTGTTATTTATTAGGTCTAATACTTCATATAAAGATAATTCTGTTCGATTTCTCCCTCCATTGCCTTTAATTGAAAACGAGTAAGAGAGTGTAATTTTGTCTTAATCTCTTTTATTTTTATCTTAAGTGAAATGAGTGACGATGAAGAAGACAACGTGACACAGTTAGTTATTGCATTTTGTCACTTTGTATGGAAACTTTAAACTCAATTTGCGATTTGAAATCAACTCAAATTTTAATACAGCATGCCTAGGAACTATTATTAATTTTTCCTATTTTTATTATTTTGCATTTAGCAAGGAGTCAGTACCATCAAGCAAATATATCTCTCATTTAAGGTGGAATGCAATTATAATCGTTATTTATCATTATTATTATCATTATCACCATAGCTCAATGACATTATTATTAGCAGGAGATGAAGTATGCAACTACATTATTATGCTTTATGTATCTACATGATTGTGTTCTTTAGTGTGGTCATATACACATTGTTATCGATGGAGTCCTTCACATTACATCTCTTTCTCTTCTCTCTGAAGTATCTACCAGTCCATTTTTATTATTAATTTTATTGCTATATAAAGGGAATGACCGTATCTTCAATTATTAGTTTAAAAATGTCACACAATTTTTGTACGCTAGCAGCTGTTAGCTGCAATGAAAACAACACCCTCTTTTATAATTTAGTAAGAGAGAGAGTTTGAGAAGACTGAGCGACTAGTTTTTAAATTCTAGGTTGATACGTCTTTGCTAGCCAATAAAGTTAACGAACTTCATTTTGTTGCCGTCAAGTATAATCATGTTTTATCTGTCATGGCGTATGTAGGAGATGTGATTCGAGCTATGACTGATGCCTGGGAAGATGGTCTGTTGACAGTGGATAAAAAGATGGAGCGATATGCAAAAGTAAAGGCACATTCACAACATGACACGTAGCTGGAAGTGCTGTGACTAGTCAAAACATTAGATATGAAGTAGTTATTCAAAGCAAATCAACTATTGGGTGGAATATATTTAGTCAAAACTTTTCTCTTCCTGCCACAACTAGCACGTGTGGCGCAATCGGTTAGCGCGTTCGGCTGTTAACCGAAAGGTTGTTGGTTCGAGCCCAACCATGTGCGGGTTACATTTTTTTTCTTTTTTTTTTTTCATCTAGACTTTGCCCTCCTGTCTTCAATTAATGGATGAATACATTATTTTGTTAGCCTGTGGCCAAGCAAGGTTAGTTTTCATAAACAATTGCAACTGTACAGTTTCATTTCTACAGAGCAGAACTAAAATCATTTTTGGTTGATGAACTAACAGCAAAAGTATAATACAAGTAATCGTAATGGTGTTATTTCTATTATTTCTTTAGGGAGTCAAAAAGATTGGCCTTTCTATTGAAATGTCTTACAAAAGCCTACGAAGATACACCATAAATCACTTAAACAAGTAGAAGCCTGCTACTACTTCTCTCCCTCCACCTCTTTCATTCTCTAGAGCAATTGAGGCACTCAACTTCCACCTCCATGATCTGTTTGGTGTCTCTGGATGGGATAATGTGTTTGGCTGCATTGGATTGAGTACAGAGACATTGCAAGGTCAATATAATAGGAATAAAGTGATAAAAAAGGGAAGGGATGGGGGAGAGATTGGGACTTGTATCTTGACTCGTATTGCTTTATTAATATCAAGAGTATAGACCGTGTTATATTGACTAGGCTGCATGCAAGTCCTTGGAAGTTTTGCTCTTAAAGCTCAAGAGTTTCTTTAGTAAGCTCCATATACTTACACATACTTTAAATCTCTTCTAACTGTTACAGTGTTACTGATGAATCGCTTCAAAACCTTAAAATATTCTTCATTTGGTTGTACACAAGTGAGTGAGAGAGAGAGATATGACTATATCACATGATTGCAATGTATAGTTATTATAAAGTTAGCTGGTGAGCCAGCTCCTACTCCACCCATAGAAGAGGTACTGACATTCCCCTTTTTTTATCGTCTCCCTCTCCTCTCTCTCTCAGGGACCTACTCCTGAAGAACTTCAAATGATAATTGATTTCCTGAGGAAGCGGTTAAAACCGGTTCATTCCGAAGGGCATGGCCAAGCATTTAGTCTAGACCTTGTTGGACAGGTTTGGGTATCCAGTTTGTGTGGTTGAGTCTATTTTTCTTTTTGTAGTATTTGTTATCAAAAAATTTGTCAGTTGTGGAAGTAAGTATAAGTATACTCTTGCATTTTGTAATAAATTCCTTTTTTAAAATGTAGGAACCTTCACAGACAATATGGGACAAGATATTAAGTGATACAGCCAGTTTAACCAGAGAAGGTATGTATCATTATCAATTTTCTTGAATATCTTCCAATATAATCATGCTGAGTGAAAATTTGGTAGCTATACCTATGCTAATTAGTAACAAATTCACAATATTTTATAATCTTTCTTTTCATTTTTGTTGGTTGTTGATGTTAGTTGCCCCGTGGCTGATCAAGAGTCAAACAAATAAAAGTATTATGCAGTTGTACCAGTCGCTGCAATCATCAGTCAACAAAGCATTTAATTCAACCAAAGTAACTCTCTCTCTTCCTCCCTCTCTCTCTCTCTTTGCTTTGTTTAATTGCTATTAATAGGAGGCGATGCAGTCTTTATTTGTTCAAAAGACATCACTAAAACTATTTGATTACAAGTACTAAAGGTGTTAATATGCGATTGATTTCTTATTATTTCTGCAGCTCAAATCTCTCAAGCAGGATGAAGTCATTGTGAGGCCTTGTTCTCTTATTTACATAATATCGAGTTTGTTTACTATATACAGGGTAACGTTGTACTCTAATGATACTGGCAGTTCTAGCTGTCTGTTTCCAATTAATGAGCACCAAATAGCTACACTGGAACACGATCAAGATAGGTTAGGGCATGTAAACGTATTAGGATGAGAAGGACCTGTGAATGCATTCATTATCCTAGAAATATTCAGCTCCTACCATGCAAATATACAAGCATCTGTTGTTGTGGCATCATTTAAGCAATTATAATTATCATTATTATTATTATTATTAATAGTGAAGTGAAGTATGGTTCGTTTTTTGTCCAGTGCACATCAGAAAATGAAGAAGAAAGAACTGAAAAGTATTTTAGAGTTAGGACTGTCACATACTTTTATATTTTCTTTCTTTAAACAGATATCATATTTATGATATGTCTGTGTACAATGGAGATACTCTCTCTCTCCTTCTCTATAATGGAGCTTCATACATGGTGGCACAGTTACCAATGGCAGCCGTTTCTACAGTAACTTTGAATCTAATTGGCTGTGAAGTGTTGCAAGATTCAATTCAAATGTATGTAGTACATACACAGAATAAGTAATACCTATTTATCTAATACTTATTCATGCATTCAATTGCTTTGCTAAAGGCTGAGTGGAGTGGATATTGGAAGGGAGTTAGCACAAGGCACGAGTTTAGGAAGATTTCAAGCCAAAAGTCTTGAGGTGTCAGGATCAAGAAAACTGGCAGCTGTTGTAAGTGAGATCATGTCTCGATTATAAGACACTGTCTCAGAAAGTGTAATAAAAATGAAGAGTTCTCTCCAAGCCATTTTGACAAAGTATCCTGTACTATAGTACAGGGACTTTGTCCAGATTTTTGAGCAACTTAAAAATTCAATTTTGAGCGGAATTGGCTCAAATTTTTTACGTAACATAAGAAAATGTATACACATCAGAAAATTTATAAAAATGGAGAACTCTCTCATAGCTATTTTTGACGAAACACCCTTATAAATAGTACAGGGTATCTGGTTGCTACTCTTCATTACTTTATCTAGTGTCTCTGCTGGCAATGTATGACTGATGTACATGTATTCCTGTAGGTATCCATTGGTGGCAGGAGGGTCCAGTTGTTTGATGTTGATGCAGAGCAGGACGATGAAGACATTTGAACTATAGCAAAGCAATTCCCAGGAGTGATAGAGTCACATATACATTGAAATAAAAGAGAAAAATTACATTCATATCCTATAGCACATCAAGAGTACATAGATACACACAAACAACAGAAGAGAGAAAATTCATAATAATAATAATAATAATAATAATAACAATAATAATAACAATGATAAGTGTCTCATAATTATAAATTCAAAATGATGTTTCCTGTACACAGTATTATTATAATGAAAATAGAGAAAGAGAGAGAGAGAGGGGGAGGAGAGTGTATAATATGTAGAAACACAAGATAAAGGATCAAGCAACATTAGCACTCATTAGTATTGTGTCTATTTCTTGAGTTGTAGTGAGAGCCAATCTAAGCCTTCATATAGACCAGTGCCTTGAACAGCACACGTGCTTTGAATATACCACTAGAACAATCAAAAGAATCATTTTAGTTATTTGTTATGAATGATTAATAAAGAGAAAGAATGAATAATGAGGAAAAAAATTAAAAGAATCAAGTTAATTTATCATCATTATAAGTAATGACTGCATCTTCTCACTCTCTCTTAACTTACAGTCCTGTTCTTGACATCTCTCAGTCCAAGTGCATCAGTTATTTCAGAGACTGACATGGCATTGGGCAGATCCTGTTTATTGGCAAACACTAGCAACACGGCATCACGTAACTCATCCTCTGATAACTAAAAAAACAATAATTGTTATTATTATTATTATTATCTATTATTATTATTTATTGTTATTTACCATGGCGTCTAGTTCCTGTTTAGCTTCCTTGACTCTCTCCCTGTCATTGCTGTCGACAACAAATATCAATCCCTAAAGGGGAGGGGCAATGATGAACCATACCCGCTAGTTATAATAACCTGTGTGTTGACAAAGTAGTGTCTCCATAATGGTCTTATCTTGTCCTGCCCACCCACGTCCCACACGGTAAAACTGATGTTCTTATATTCAACTGTTTCTACATTAAAACCTACGAAGAGAAAAGAAATACTATTTTTACATAATATTCATCATTGGTAAATTTTTAAAATGAAATTTTAGATAAAAATATTAACCCAAGCTAATTATTTTTGGTGAATTTAGAGACAAAATGGCAGCATATGGAGCTTATTGTTTCATAAGAGGCTTAAAGCAGCTCCTCACCTTCCACTTTCTGGACAACAATGCTATGAGAGAATCCTAATGGATTTAATGTGGTAAAGGATAATTTAGGAGCTTAATTCTTTTTTTGAATTGGGAGTTTCGAGATTTTAAGTAGTACTTCGTTTGTTATGGTTGCTTACCAATGGTGGGAATGGTGGTGACTATTTCTCCTAGCTTCAATTTATACAGTATAGTCGTCTTGCCAGCTGCATCCAAACCGACTAGTAACAACAAATAAATAAATAAAATGATCATTCATATATGTAGCCAACAGCCTCTCTTATTACATTTCAAACAAAAATAAATTTTAATTGGCCATTTTCACAGCCACTCCCATTTAATTAACTCCTTCTGGTTCTTACCCATTAATATTCTCATGCTTTCTGTGCCAAACAGTCTTTGAAACAAACTAGAGATTGTCAGACCCATGGCTACCTTAGGGAAAACGAACACTGAGTAGTATAATAAAAATGAAGTTTGTAAAATGGGAAGGAAGGGGTGGTCAGGATAAAAACTATAGGAAGAGAGGCATTCACAGGACATAGAGAAAACGGCTTGACCTACTTTGAAACAGCTCTAAATGCTTCCTCCTATTGGTGGCCTCTCTATTATAATGACCTTGCTTCGCTTATTTTGTCGTCGTTGTTCTAGACACGATGGACAATGCCACGTCCTCAACTTAAAAGTGGGTGGGATTAGAAACGAGCCACACCCATTAAAGGCGAGGTTTACGTTTAATTATTTTGACCGCACCCTCCAGGCCTCCACTATAAATTATGGCTCTAAGCTCCATAGAACCATATGTTAATCGTATCCTCTCTTTCTTTTTTATTTTTATTTTTGGTTTTTGTTTTGCTTTATTCCTTAACTATTTTTAGGTTCAGTATCAATAATTACGGGTGATGGCAGAGTAATTGTGGTAAGTTTGTAGTTTTGGCGCCATTTTCTAATTAAAAAAATAATAATCCAAAGCCTATTTTAAGTCCACCATTAAATATTCATCCTAATTCTTGTGATGAAGTGATACATTGATTATTAATATTAAAAACAGTCAAGGTTTCCCATAAAGCATGCTCTGAAGCAACTTTAAAAATTTGTAAAAAAATCCAATTTTGGTTGGAATTCAGCTCAAACTTTCTATGCAACAAAAGTACATGTATATGTATCCTAAAATAATATAAAAATGGAGAATTTTTTCCTTTTTAATTTGGTAAAAATTGGCTCAAAACCATGTACAGGGACTTTGACTAGATTTTGAGCACCTTTAAAAATTTATAATTTTAATTGAAATCTGTTCAAATTTTTAGAACAGTATAAGTATGTATATGCATTAGCTGAGCCCAAGTCTAATGGGAAACCTTGAAAACAGTGTAGCCAAATATTTAAATCTCCACTACATGCACCATGCTAAAAATTAATTTAAAAATTGACTGAAAAAAAATTGATTGAATTTTTTTAATGTTTAATAGGGGACATTAAAAGGTTTTGATCAAACGGTTAACATAATCCTCTCCAATAGCCATGAGAGGGTTTACTCCAGCAGTAGTGGTGTGGAACAGGTTCAGTTAGGACTTTATATCATTAGAGGTGACAATATGTAAGTCTGAGACAGAGAGCAGGCGAAAAGGTGGTTTTTAATTTTTTTTTTTTTTTGTTTTTTGTAGAGCTGTGATTGGCGAGCTAGATGAAGAACTAGATTCTGAAATTAATTTAAATGATATAAGAGCAGAACCACTCAATCCTGTTGTACATTAAATTGATGTAAAAAAATATCACTTTTAAATTGGAGAGCTTTTTCCAAAAAATTACCGGTATTTTTGATATTTATAATTATTAATTGAGATCACGTGACGCGCTTTATTTAGAACTAAAGAAAATGGCCGCCAGTGTAGCTATGCCTTTATCGACTCAACAGGATTTCTTCTCCCCGAGACGCCTCGAGGAAGATGAAGATGAGGAGGAGGAAGAAGAAGACGTTGTAGTTAAATCCAAGCCTATACCAAACCGACCGATTCAACTGCTAACGGGCCAAGACGAAGAGGAAGATGCTGCTGCTTTGGAAGATGTTATAGACGACTCACCGATGCCCCAACCTCCTAATGGAGGGAGCTCAGTCTACAGCAGGGACAGGCTCCCAATGCTTGATCTTGCCGAAGTATCGCTGACCAGTGTAGAGGCAAGAGGTGACAGTTTATTAGGCCCAAGCAGTAACTGGGTGAGCACTGCTAGTGCCTCCACTGGGGAGTTTGGGCTCTCGGGAAAATTCAAAGTTCAAGGGAAACGCTGCATATTGAGACTTGAAGACGACATGTTACAGTGGACTTGGGCAGGAAAGAGTAAGAAAGAAATCCATAAAATCATACATTTATTTATATTCTGTTCTAAGCAATAATTAAAATTTGTGTGTGTTTCAATTAATGCCCATTTTTCTCAGGAGGTACTCAAAATAAAGAAGTCCTCTCGCTGGCAGACATATTTGCCGTAGTTGTTATAAATTCCCGTGGAAGACCCGACGTCCACGGTACCCAGTTTGTGATACATGCCCTCAAGTCGAAGCCGGGGTCCTGTGGAGACCTCGTTGAGGTGACCTGTCAACCGTTAGACCCTCACCCAGCAGCCACTAGCCAGACCTGGGGAGAATACCTCAGCCAACAGATACAGAGTATGTGATCTGAGAGAGAATGAGTAGGAAATGAGTAAAGAAATACGAGTATGATGAGTACCACGTACACCATATATTTCGCGCGTGTAAATTTTTTTGTGATTTTCCTGCATTTTTACATATGCGGATAAAAATGTTGCAATTTTAAATCTTATTACCACACCTACTATAATCAGCACGCTATTTTGTGGATTTTAATTTCACGAATTTTTAATCATCCCCCCTGCGAAATATATGGCGTATATGGTATTAGTATTGGAACATGAGTATGAGATTATGAGCATGGGAGTATGAAAGTATGAAAGTATGAAGCATGTACATAATTATGTGGTTATGAGTATCAAGTTTGATTATCAGTGTGTGTCTGTGAATACAGTACATGTATGTGTGCAGTGTAACTGATATCTTTAATTCCATAGTAAGTGTGCATGTACTTTATCAGTTTAGTGGCTTGTGTTGGTAAATACATCTATGAAATACATGTACATGTACACGTACAAACATCTAATTTCACTTTTAGCTCATACATGTACATGTAGCTTCTATTTTCAACTGGAGTTGGTTTTCATAAGCTTCCATGATTGTTATTTTTCAATGCACAACAGTTTCATTGTGTTTCAAACTTGTTTTATTTTATTGTTTTTGTGTGTGTAGATTTTGGTCATCGTCCAAGAAGATTATATGTTGTTATAAATCCAACCAGTGGAAACGGAAGCAGCTTATCCACCTGGTCTAAAGTGGAGCCTCTCTTTAAACTAGCTAATGTCCACACAGAAATATTTGGTATGCTAAGATTATTGCATCTCTCTTTATATCTCTCCTCCTTCTCACTTCACTTTTCTCTCAGTTACTCAGAGAAGATTCCAAGCTCGTGAGATTATTCAAAGTTTGGCAGTGGATCAGTATGACGGGTAAGACTCCCTCCCCTCCACCTTTCCATATCTTGTTTCACAGGATTATTGTTGTCGGCGGTGATGGTATATTTAACGAGGTACTCAACGGTCTCATATTGCAGACTCAGCAATCAGCTGGCATTGATTTGAGACGAGGTCGGTTTGTTCCTGTACAGCCTAATATAAGACTGGGGATAATACCAGCTGGGTTTTCTAACTCAGTGGCATGGTCTGTGCTTGGCACTAGGAATCCAAAGGAAGCAGCTGCTCAGGTTTTATTGGGTAAGCAATAAGTACACGTGTGTGTATCATATCACTTTGTTTATTTATTATTTTATTATCACTACTACTCCTTTCCTTTCCCCACCTCTCTCTCTTTATCTTCTCTCTCTCTCTTTATCTTCTCTCTCTGCCTCTCCTTTTTTTTTCTTTTTCTCCCTCTTTCAATCTTCTCCCCACCCCTCTCTCTCTCCCCTTCCCTCCCCTCTCTCTCTCTCTCTTTCAGGTTCTTCCTCACCCATTGATGTATGCAGTTTATTTAATTCAGGACAGTTATTATTATTTTCAGCTGGTGCCCTTTCTTATGGAGTTCAGGCTGAAGCAACAATGTTTACTAACGACTTTACTTGGCTGGGGCAAAGAAGAGTGGACATTGCTCAAATTAGAGCTGTATTAACCAAACGGTATGCAGTATAACTCTGTATATCATAGTATAACCCTGTATATTATAGTATATATTTTTGTATACTTGTAATTTTTGTGTTATTATCCAGTGCAACAAAATGCCTTAATGAATTAATTTTATGTGGGTTGTGTACGTGTATATGGTTGGGGAATTGTTTCTATTGTTCTTAGTGAATAGTTGGTAAAATGGAGTCATTGTCTCTCTGTTTACTTTTATTGTATTTATAGTCTTTATATGCATGTACAATTATAATATATATACATGTATATGTATGTACTTTGTAACTACATATCCCATTAACTTTCTGTTTCTGTTCTCTCTTTTTCTCTCTCTCTCTCTCTCTCTCTCTCTCTCTCTCTCTCTCTCTCTCTCTCTCTCTCTCTCTCTCTCTCTCTCTCTCTCTCTCTCTCTCTCTCCCTGTAGTGATTTTGAGACAGAAGTGATGTACATACCAATGACAGACAATGACACTCTATCCAACAGAACCGAGAGAGACAAATGCTATTCAAGGTAAGGGATACATTAACTGATACACTGTCTCTATCACTGTGGTACTGACTAGTGAGTAAAAGATGACAGAAAGAGGGAAGGAGGATTGTAATGTGTATTTTCTTTCTCAGGTGCCCAAAATGTAGTAATTTTGACGGAGTCCAAGAGCCCCATGGTGGAGCACTAAACGAGAAAGGCGCTTCAGTAATGGCCGCCTCCTACTCTAACGTTGACAGTAAGCTCCGCTAATATCCCCCATTCCAATTAATGCCCGTGACTATAGGATCGGCCGATCAACTTGAGTGGAAGCGAATTACGGGGACATACTCAACTGTCATAGCGTGTCCGCTGACCTGTAGATCCCGTCAGGCTCCGGAGGGACTCTCCCCGTGGGCCCATCAGGCGAACGGAGGGTTAGACCTCATATTGGTTAGGGGACGTGGGAAACTGGACACTTTGAAATGGTTTATACATCAAAGGAGAGTTACACAGGTGAGGGAAGAGGGGAGAAGGGAGGGCGTTTTTTATATTTTTTATTTCTCTCGTAGCTCAATCTTCCTTATGTACAGATATACAGAGTAAAAGAGTTTAAGTTTCGAGAGATTTTGACTCAACCCCAGAGGGCTGAAGAGGAAATAAATCTTGTATCAGATGTATGTAAATGCATGTGCATGTAAACATGGGCTTGGCTTATTTGATCGATCATAACTTTAAAACTTTTAGTTGGAATCAGCTCAAACTTTCTGCATACATGTACCATTAAGAATATCAATATGTCTCAGAAAATGTATTTTTAAAGAAATGCTCATAACTTCAGAATTTAAGCTCAGAATCAGCTCAGACTTTGCACATAGTATAAGGACATCAATATGTATCAGAAAATGTAATAAAAATTTGGGGTGATTTTGGAGCCATTTTTAGAAAAAAACATGGGCATAGCTTTAGGTATTTTTTTTTAAATTGGCCAATTTTTTAAAATGGCCATAACTCGAAAATTTCTTATTGAAATTGACTCGAACTTTCTACATAGCATAAGGACATCAATATGTATCAGAAAATGTATTAAAAATTTGGGGTGATTTCGGAGCCATTTTTTGGAAAAAACCATGGGCTATAGCCTTGGATATTTTTCAGATTTTTGGCATTTTCTTAAAATGGCTGTAACTTGAAAAATTAATGTTGGAATCAGCTCAAACTTTCTACACAGCATAAGGACATCGATATGTATCAGGAAATGTAATAAAAATTTGAGGTGATTTTGGAGCCATTTTTTGGAAAAAATCATGGGCTATAGCCTTGGATACTTTTCAGAATTTTGGCATTTTCTTAAAATGGCCATAACTCGAAAAATTGAAGTTGGAATCAGCTAAAACTTTCTACACAGCATAAGGACATCGATATGTATCAGAAAATGTAGTAAAAGTTTGGGGTGATTTCGGAGCCATTTTTTGGAAAAAAACCATGGGCTATAGCCTTGGGTATTTTTCAAAAATTGGCTGATTTCTTAAAATGGCCATAACTCAAATTTTTTTTGTCAGAATTGACTCAAACTTTCTACATAGCATAAGGACATCAATATGTATCAGAAAATCTAATAAGAATTTGGGGTGATTTTGGAGCCATTTTTTGAACAAACCATGGGCTACATGTATAAGCCTTGGGTATTTTTCAAAATTTTCAAAGTGCTCATAACTCGAAAATTATTTGTCGGAATCAGTTTAAACTTTCTATACCAATATGTATCAAAAAATAAATTGTTGTATCTCTCACTGTCCTTAGACCAGAGAAGATGATGATGAAGTGACTAACAGAAGTGCTGGAATGAGAGGAAGTGGAGGAGGAGGAAGGATAGGACGACAGCAGTCACATGACATCCTTCCATCTAGTCACTGGAATATAGACGGAGACGACCTTAACAGAGTTGACATTGAAGTCAGGTGGGTGTCGTTTAGTTATATGGCAACATAACAAAGTTCAGGATGTGAGGCTGTGAGCAGATACAAAAATTCTCTTTTTAAATTATGGCCGATAATTATGTATTATCTGCCCTCTATCTTCTTTTAGAGTCCATCGTCATTTATTGGTGATGTTTGCTCGTGGGGTTGAGCCTATTTTTAGTAACGGTGATGATGACGAAGAAATATTATCGGGTAACGAATCATTTGGAGATACAATTGACCGAGAAGGATCAGAACAACTTATACCAGCTCAGTCAACGTAACTTTCCTGGTTCCTTTCTTTATGTGTCTCCTCCAGTTTAGCTTGTACTGTGTGTATAAGAATTTATTGCTATTTGTGTACATGTATGTATGCGGTGTTGTCCCATTCATCTTATTTTTTTAATTTTTGCAAGTTTTATTAGACAAAATTATGACATTGTTATTATTATTATTGTTATTATTATTATTATTATTGTTTTATAAATTATGGCACTTCATTCCTAGCCCCCTCTCATCTGTGATTTATTTCCTTTTTTCATCAACTAATAATTAATATTAATTTCATTTATAAATTATTTAATTATTGCGATACAAAGTGAAGCCGAAGGAACAAAATGATTGAATTATAATTTTGTAAGCATACAAAATCATTAAATTTTGCTGCTTTATATGTAAAATTATGCATGATATTATGTACATGTATCTGTATTTGTGTCTCATATTCCTGTTCCTCTTACTTCTTTTGGCTTTGTCTTTCTAATGGCCACTATCCCACTTATATGCACAACAATGAGTACTAGCAGTGTGAGCGAGAGCAATGAGATTACCAAAGCACCAGCAGTTAGTCCTACACTAGATATGTCAGGATCATCAACATTACCAGGGGTAGGTCGAACTACTGATGGTTGTGGAGAGTTTGATGGAAACTGACTAATACTGGGAGACATAGTTGAGACAACCTGTGAACTACTGCTAAGTCGTGTGCTAACCAGTGATGGAGTTAGAGTCATTGAAGACCTCATTAATGTTGATGACGTTGAAGTAGTAGAAGGTTTGTTACTTGGTATTGATATTGATACAGGTACACTGTGTTCACTTGGTAGCAGTATTCCACTACTGGTATTGAGGGAAATGGCTATTACAAAGAACGTGTAGCTCTCTCCTTGAGTGAGTCCCTTTATATTAGCAACAGTATCCATTGAAGTATTGAAGACACTTTGTGTCCTGTTGTTGTGCACTTGAAAGACTTCATATCTGTGTGAGGTAGTGCCTGCATGTGACCAAGAGACTTGTACTGTAGTTGAACCAGTTAGCATTACAGCTAAACCAGTAGGAGCTTCAGCAACTGAAACAAATAGAAACAATTATTGCAGCTTTAAAAGAAACCTATTGTGGACTTAGTGCAAAATTTCTATGTTTTCAATGTAATCTTGTTTACATGTACATATATGGATTAATCTAAAGCTGCTAACCTCCAATAGTGAGAGATCTAGAATCACTAAAAGCTGGAACATAATCCTCATTAGCTTTAGAGTCAGTCACTCTATTATTAGAGACCATGAATTCATAACGACCAGCATATCTCTCTCTCACTGTTGCACTAACTCCTGTAACTGAGCTAGGTCCATCTATTACAGTACAACTGAATGAGAGTAATATTGTATTGTTGACAGTGGAGTTGAGGTAGGTAGGTGGACTTCTTGTGACATTGAAATTGAGCGATGCATGAAGAGGCAGCACTGAGATTAGATTGTATGTCACAGCTGATGATAAACGAGGCCCCTCTATATTATCAAAAATAAAATCAATTATAAACTCTGTTAATTGTACATGGACATACTAACCATTAGCTTTATAGACTCTAGTTCTATATATTCCAGCTACTAGTGTTTGATTCACTCTATTTTCATCAGAAATGACACACTTATATAAACCTTCATATCCTAAGAGTCCTTCTCTCCTTGCTAGTGCAACTTGTCCATCAAAGCTTTTAGCAAAGACTGGTCTTGGAGCTGAGTCATTGCCAAACTCTCCATCAAAAGTAGGCACTTCTGTATCATTAGGGAAATACCACGTGCCAACAGCTTCTGGATCTGAGCTCTGACACCACAAAGCATCAACGATTCCATCATCACTGCTGGTATCTGTAGTGCTGTGATCTTTATCATAAAACATTTCTGCACTTATGATTGAGTATGTTTGGAGCTCTCTTGATTGAAAAGGAAGATAGAGCCTGACACCTATATGAATGGTAACAGAGACAATGTATAGTTTATACAAGAAATAGTTCAACAAATTATAAGTATCCAATTGCAAACTCAAATACTTAGATCAACAATGTACCTGATGAATTATTGGGTAGAGGTGGTGCTGGTTCACTTCTGCTAACAGGCAGCACAATAAAGAACAGTAGAAATATCATAGCACATCCAGCTGACTAAAGAGATGGACAAAAAATAGAGCCTGAGATCAGTAAAGATGAACATTATAGTGAGTCTGGTTTGTTTATTCGTTGGGTGTCTTGCACCCTGACTAGATACTACATAAATATTTTCATTGCTAAGTTGATTAACATTGTAGCAATTCTTCCTTTTCAGTAATCTGTTTTTTAAACAGTTGGATGAGCTCCCCTCAATGTTATAACACACAAATTATGCTGCATGTAAATATGTGCTTGTCCTATTCATCAAAGTAAATTTTTTCAAGTTTTATTAGCATTGTTATTATTATTATTGTTGTTGTTGTTGTTGTTTTATAAATGACACTTTATTCCTAGCCTCCCATGCATCTGTGATTTATTTCCTTTTTCATGAACTAATAATAATTAATATTCATTTATACATTAATCGTTGCCTTATCCTGAGATACATGGGAACAAATGATTGAATTATAATTTTGTATGCATTAAAAAACTTAAATTTTGCTACTTTATAATTATGTCAAATTATGCATGATATTATGTACATGCATGTATTTGTATTTTATGCCTTGTTCTGATTCTTTTTCTTCTTGGGCTTTGTCATGCTAATGGCCACTATCCCACCAATAAGTGCAACAATGAGTACTAGCAGTATGAATGAGAGCACAGAGAGAAGCACAATACCAGCAGTTAGTCCTACACTGGATGTGTCAGGGTCATCAACATTACCAGGGGTAGGTCGAACTACTGATGGTTGTGGAGAGGATGATGGAAACTGGCTAATACTCGGAGACCTAGTTGGGACAACCTGTGAACTGCTACTAATCAGTGATGGAGTTAGAGCCATTGAAGACCTCATTAATGTTGATGACGTTGAAGTAGTAGAAGGTTTGTTACTTGGTATTGATATTGATACAAGTGTACTGTGTTCACTTGGTAGCAGTATTCCACTACTGGTGTTGAGGGAAATGGCTATTACAAAGAATGTGTAGCTCTCTCCTTGAGTGAGTCCCTTTATATTAGCAGTAGTATCCATTAAAGTATTGAAGACACTTTGTGTCCTGTTGTTGTGCACTTGAAAGACTTCATATCTGTGTGGGGTAGTGCCTGGATGTGACCAAGAGACTTGTACTGTAGTTGAACCAGTTAGCATTACAGCTAAACCAGTAGGAGCTTCAGCAACTGAAACAAATAGAAACAAATATTGAAGCTACATGTAGACAATGATAGTAATGTTTTTAATTTCATTAATTTCAGAAATGCAAACTTCATTAAACCGAAGTGTTTTAGCAGAGCAAATTTTTCTCAAAACAATTCCTATGGTGTTTGCTTATTTTGTGAGCTTGTATTGTATTTGCCAGCATGAACATATACAGACTAATCTAAAGTTGCTAACCTCCAATAGTGAGAGATCTAGAATCACCAATAGCTGCAACAATCCCATTAGCTTCAGAGTCAGTCACTCTATTATTAGAAACTATGAATTCATAACGACCAGCATATCTCTCTGTCACTGCTACACTAACTCCTGTAACTGAGCTAGGTCCATCTAATACAGTACGACTGAATGAAAGTGATATTGTATCATTGACAGTGCAGTTGAGGTAGGTAGGTGGACTTCTTGTGACATTGAAATTGAGTGATGCATGAAGAGGTAGCACTGAGATTAGATTGTATGTCACAGCTGATGATAAACGAGGCCCCTCTATATTTACGAAAATAAAATCAATTATAAACTCTGTTAATTGTACATGGACATACTAACCATTAGCTTTATAAAGCCTAGTCCTATATATTCCAGCTACTAGTGTTTGATTCACTCCATCCTCATCAGGAATGACACACTTATATAAACCTTCATATCCTAAGAGTCCTTCTCTCCTTGCTAGTGCAACTTGTCCATCAAAGCTTTTAGCAAAGACTGGTCTTGGAGCTGAGTCATTGCCAAACTCTCCATCAAAAGCAGGCACTTCTGTATCATTAGGGAAATACCAAGTACCAACAGCTTCTGGATCTGAGCTCTGACACCACAAAGCATCAACAATTCCATCACTGCTGGTATCTGTAGTGCTGTGATCTTTATCATAAAACATTTCTGCACTTATGATTGAGTATGTTTGGAGCTCTCTTGATTTAAAAGGAAGATACAGTCTAACGCCTATATAAATCGTAAAAGAGACAATGTATATACAAGAAATAGTTCAACTTATTATAAGTATCTGATAGCAAATTCAAATACTTATAGATCAATATAGTACCTGATGTATTATTGGGTATAGGTGGTGCTTCTTCACATCTGCTATTAGGCAGCACAATAAGGAACAATAGAAATATCATAGCAGATCCAGTTGACTTCATTTTAACAACAAACAGAGTCAGAGATAGTAAAGGATTAAGATATATAGTAGGCCTAGTTAGTAGGCCGACTATTATTATTAAATTTGTTGATTCGTTGGGTGCCTTGCATCCTGACTAGACTACAACTATACTACATAAGTTATTGGATTAATGATAAGGTTGGGTGGAAATGTTTTTATGTCTAAGTTGATTAGCATTGTAGTAATTCTTCCTTTTCAGTCTTTATTTTTAAAACAGTCGGATGAGCTCTCCCTCAATGCACTACAAGACTACAACCCACAAACAGCATAATCATATCAAAGTTATTAATAACAGCATGCAAAATAATGAAGCACATTATTAATAATTATTAGTACTGTTTTCTCTTTTGTAGTTAACACCTGAGATTTTTTTGTTAGCAAATTGAAGTGTTAACAAGGAAGTTGTAAAATGACTAAGAATATTATTTAACATTTTTTGTTTTATTTTTGAGTAGAATCAAATTAAAAACAAAATAATTATGAATATATCATTTACAAAAAAACAATATTCCTACAATCATAGAAACAAGATTATGGATAATATATTATGAAACGATATTCCTACAATCATAGAATTGATAGAGTCAATGAAGTGATTATAAAAATGATTATGAAACGATCTAGTTCATGACGTGCTCCCAATGCTGGAAGCTTTCTTCTGCTTCATTTCATTCCTCCTCTTTTGCTTTTCCAGCCTCGTCCTTTCTCTCTGATAATCAAGTGTCGGCTCTAGAGGAACACCAGAACATTCCTTCACAATGTAAGCCTTTAGATAATCATAGACTTCTAATAAACAGAATGCATCAAGAGCTAAAGGAGAGAGAAGGAGAGGAATTGAAATTAAAAAGGCAAAAAATAAGTATTTAAAGCATTTCTAGACTAGCACTCAGTTTTAATCTAGTTCAAACTGCATTAGAAGTGTAGAAAGGCCTTTAGTTTTTGTTGCAGTCTTAAAGAATATTATACTAAATTGTTCATACCGTACCTGCATATTTAACTTGCTCATTGAGCAGTGGTCGTCTGTCCCAGTCAGACATTTGGAGTGATTTATCCAACGGCTTACCCAAACACTCTTTGACCAACAAACTGAGGCCACTAGGACCAGAACCAGTAAAACTGGTCTTAGATAAAGGAGAAAGAAGGGGAGAAGGAAGAGGGGTAGGAAGAGAGTAAGGGAGAAGGAGAGGTGAAGGAGGAGGAGACAGAAGGAAAGGTGAAGGAGGAGTGAGAGGGAGAAAGGACGACGCAGGTGGCACAACTTTACTCAAACCTAATTAAAATTCATAGCATACTAATTAACTAATAAATATAGACCACACCCACCTCTTCCTATGCTGTTAACATATTGAACTGGGAAACCAGGCTCCGATATCTTTTTGATTATAACGGGAGGAGGCGTCGTCACTTCATTAACAGAATTTTTAATCTACACAAATTAACTAATAATGGTCTATTCATTTTTAAAATTACAATTTCGTTCATAAATTTGAGATCAACAACACGTTTGGGTTTCCTCAAAGCAGCTCCAATGAACGGCCAAGTCCTTTCCAGCATTGACAAATCACCATGCACCTCGTAACCTTGACAACGACAAGACACACCCACAAATAAAGAGTTGATATTACATTATTACAATACCTAATTTGAGGGTTTTCGAAGAGCCAAAAATCTTATTGATGAACCTGGTCAGTTCGTCGTGAGGGATTCTCTCTGGAAGTACGAGAGGGTCTAAGAGGAATATGGCATCGTGTACAGCTAACTGTAACAAGGATAGCCTAAAAGAGAGAGAGGAATTTAAAATAAACACAGCAGTCCCTCCTATTAAGAGACCAAAGACCGGTCTTACAGAGGAGTGGTCTTAAAAAATATTTAAAAGTGGCTTATTTAAAAGTGGTCTTAAACATGAGGTGGTTACTCAAGAGGAGACAATTACAATAACAGGAATTACCTTTCCTCCCCATTATTACAAACTGCTATCCTCCACTCAGCATCGATACCAATAACAGCACCAGTCTATCAAATATTAACAGAATCACACACACACACACATTATTATTAATGCTCAATTCTAGCTACTGACCTCAGTCAAACGGTCCTTACACATAGCAAAGGTTTTTTCATTATCAACGAATGTAATCTTCCTGGTAGGGAGCTTCAGCACATGATAAGGAGATGATTGTTGTAAGCCAGCCCTTTTACACCTAATGAAATTTTCTAATAAATTTATATGTACATGTACTGTATGTGTATAAGAACATGTAATATTAAGAATAGAAAAGTCTAATAGCAATTTTCAATCAAATATAATAGTACAGGGATTTTGAGTTCATTTTTGAGCAACTTGAAAAATTTGTAAAAAATCCAATTTTGATCGGAATCAGCTCAAGCTTTCTACACAACATAAGTACATGTATATGCATCAGATAGAGTTATAAAAATTGAGAATTCTATCCTTGTCATTTTTACCAAAATTTGCTTTGGGACCATGTACTATAGTACAGGGACTTTGAGTTCATTTTTGAGCAACTTGAAAAATTCGTAAAAAATCCAATTTTGACTGGAATCAGCTCAAACTTTCTACACAACATAAGTACATGTATATGTACCAGATAAAGTTATAAAAATGGAGAATTTTTTCCTTGTCATTTTTGCCAAAATTTGCCTTGGGACCATGTACTATAGTACAGGGACTTTGAGCCGATTTTTGAGTAACTTCGAAAATTCGTAAAAAATCCAATTTTGATCGGAATCAGCTCAAACTTTCTACACAACATAAGTACATGTATATGTACCAGATAAAGTTATAAAAATGGAAAATTTTTTCCTTGTCATTTTTGCCAAAATTTGCCTTGGGACCATAGTACAGGGACTTTGAGCCGATTTTTAAGTAACTTCAAAAATTCGTAAAAAATCCAATTTTGATTGGAATCAACTCAAACTTGCTACACAACATAAGTACATGTATATGCATCAGATAAAGTTATAAAAATGAAGAATTCTCTCCTTGCCATTTTTGCCAAAATTTGCCTTGGGACCATGTACTATAGTACAGGGACTTTGAGCCGATTTTTGAGTAACTTCAAAAATTCGTAAAAAATCCAATTTTGACTGGAATCAGCTCAAACTTTCTACACAACATAAGTACATGTATATGTACCAGATAAAGTTATAAAAATGGAAAATTTTTTCCTTGTCATTTTTGCCAAAATTTGCCTTGGGACCATGTACTATAGTACAGGGACTTTGAGCTGATTTTTAAGTAACTTCAAAAATTCGTAAAAAATCCAATTTTGATTGGAATCAACTCAAACTTGCTACACAACATAAGTACATGTATATGCATCAGATAAAGTTATAAAAATGAAGAATTCTCTCCTTGCCATTTTTGCCAAAATTTGCCTTGGGACCATGTACTATAGTACAGGGACTTTGAGCCGATTTTTGAGTAACTTCAAAAATTCGTAAAAAATCCAATTTTGATCGGAATCAGCTCAAACTTTCTACACAACATAAGTACATGTATATGTACCAGATAAAGTTATAAAAATGGAGAATTTTTTCCTTGTCATTTTTGCCAAAATTTGCCTTGGGACCATGTACTATAGTACAGGGACTTTGAGCTGATTTTTAAGTAACTTCAAAAATTCGTAAAAAATCCAATTTTGATTGGAATCAACTCAAACTTGCTACACAACATAAGTACATGTATATGCATCAGATAAAGTTATAAAAATGAAGAATTCTCTCCTTGCCATTTTTGCCAAAATTTGCCTTGGGACCATGTACTATAGTACAGGGACTTTGAGTTCATTTTTGAGCAACTTGAAAAATTCATAAAAAATCCAATTTTGATCGGAATCAGCTCAAACTTTCTACACAACATAAATACATGTATATGTACCAGATAAAGTTATAAAAATGAAGAATTCTCTTGTCATTTTTGCCAAAATTTGCCTTGGGACCATGTACTATAGTACAGGGACTTTGACTTGATTTTTGAGCCACTTAAAAAATTCGTAAAAAATCCAATTTTGATCGGAATCAACTCAAACTTTCTACGCAACATCAGTACATCTATATGCATCAGATAAAGTTATAAAAATGAAGAATTCTTTCCTTGTAATTTTTGCCAAAATTTGGCCAGGGGCATATACAATAACAGGGACTTTGAGGTAATTTTTGGGCAACTTTAAAACTCTCCTCCCTCCTCTTTCTCTCTCCTTTTGGGACATACAACACATCGTTGATCTGCTTCTGTACATTCTTAGCCAGTATGGCACTACACTGAGGGTACAATGGACGACTGGGCTCCGAGTCCATTTTCTTCATGTACTCATTGAGCGAAGGAGGGAGCTGGTTTGATGCTAACTGATAATGCTTGGAATAATGAGCAGCTGCAGGTAGGTCATTGTAGCAGACCAGCTCTGTAATTAAGTGATATTGGAGGGAAGGTCTACCTTTAACAGCTGCCTAAAATTAAAGACAATTTTAAAGTAATAAAATATTTTATTTAATAATTATTATAGTCTTTAAACTATTACAGCTCACTTCTAACACAGCAATATCAGACAAAGTATGCTAAATGAGAAATAAAGATAAATGCATTAAAAAATGTACTAACATACATCAATGTATTTCTTTTTCAGTAAATAGTTAAGTGAAGAAACTGCTTTTCGTTCAAAAATCTTTGGGTAGCTTGCTAATGAGAGAAAGAGAGCGAAAGGAAAAATTTTGAAGCAGTTTTTAGTACTCTCCCCTTACATATTGATAGTCTAAAAAAGTTGACTAATCTAATGCTTAATTTCTCCAGCTGGTGATGACTCAGTTTATCGCTGGCAGAGAAGCAAATCCCTTTCTTTAACAAGTCACTGCATAAACAAAGATGGTATATATAGTCAGAGCTACTAATGAAGAAGTACCTCTTGACAGATTCAAGCATTTGTGGTGAGTCGTAGAGTTCTTCAAGGTACTTTAAGAAATCATCTTGAAGCTTTGGATAATCTGACAAATATCTAATAAAATAAAACAACAATAGTAATAATCATAAGTAATAATAGCAACAATAGTAATAATCATAAGTTTTATAATTATACCGTTCAATAAGATTCACTTTGTCCATTGCCAGTAATGGAGTAAGCAACTATAAAAATTCTTCATACACACAATAAAAACTTTAATAATTTACTTGCTTGACGTCAAATTCTTCCTGAAGGTTAAGCTTGATAGCATAAGATATAGCCTATTCAAAAAAAACATTATTATTATTATAAATGAGAAAAATCATAAATAATATAATATTCACTCTTACATCAGTGTGTCTAAACGAATCCAGTAATATCCTAATAAACTCAACAAGCTCAGTCCTATCAGCATTCACCAGGTCAAAAATGGAGACTAAATCATCAAAGAGGACATGATGGCATCTCTCCAGTACTGAGAGTACAGTCTTTTGGTGGTACTTGCTGGGAACAATGCCACACCCACTGGACTTACGCCATTCCTGAAACTCAGTGACTACTAGACGTGGAACTGAGTTTGGTTGAGGACGATTCTTACCTAACGTATATAAACATTAAATGAAAAATGGATAAGTCCATTTTCAATTGCTTGTACTAGCTTCACACAGGGGATTTGGCTACTAATTTTTAATTGTGCCTAACTATAATGAGGCCATTTATTCATGGAGTACTTTAACAAGGATCCTTGGCTAAATTAACTAACATTAATTCTTACAATTAAAAGTGGCTAAGATGCTAAAGTGCTAATCAAACTAATTAGCATCAATATAATAAATTTTGCAAGTATATATTTATTAAACTTACCAACTCTCTCAATGTGAGTGATCAGTAGTGAGTATGGATCAGGATGATCACTGAATGTGGAATGAATCACCTCCTTAACCTCTCCAGTTAGTTTCTTGTTTGACTGGTACCAAATACCTCTGACCTTCTCCACCAAAACGTCATTGTTAACTACCAATGGACCAGCAAAAAAATAAAGAAATAATAATTTCAATGATAGATATAATACAAGTGTTGTTTCAATGTGTCACACTGTTATTTCAACAATGCACAATAACACAATGTAAAAAAAACAATTATTACTGTAAGAGGGTGTGGCATCATCATAGACCTCATCTTGATCTGAAATCCAACCATCATCATCGTCTGGTACCACTTGGAATCCACCCAAACCATCTTCAAGTGTCGTTTGACTGGAGGAGTAATCTACGGAGACGAGACTGCCTGCAGGAGGTAGGTCAGGACTGCAGCAGCGGACAGAGACCTCGTAGTCTTCTTCATCATCGTCATCTGAACTAAATTGCTAATAAGATTAGGAATATCAATAATTAATAGGACTTTTGTCACTTTACCCAATTGCTGTACATCATTGAAGCAAGCACGTGGGCCCATGGGGGTATGACAATAATGGGAGTGGTTAGAATACCGTAAGGTGATCTTTTTAAGCGTATGACCTGATACCGAATATGTTCTTTTCAAAATTATTTTTGTTTCTTCAAATAGGCGTGGTTTGTCAATTTGTGTCCACTTTTTCACGATAGAATACTCCAATGGCTGAGCTAGACAGTGACTTTACCTTGAAACTAAACGAGTTTCTGGATCATTTTATGTCCCTGGCCGAAGACAATGAAGAAAACGATGCTACTTTCAACAAAGAGTTCCAGGTAACAGCAAAAGAATGACCCAAAATCTGACTGTGTACTTTTGATCTCACCCTCCCTCTCTCTCTCTCCCTTTTCTCTCAGGCTCTGAAGATGGAGTCCCAGAGGTACAAGGATCAGAATACGTTCCCTGCAGAGAGTGGACAGAATCCTGTCAACAAGAAGAAGAACAGATTCAAAGACATACTTCCATGTAAGCAACTCAAAAATTTTTCGAATTCTAATCATGTACTACACGTTACACCTAGTGAGGTTTTGCATGTACATATATGTACTCACGGCATACATATGCATGTATATGTAGCGTTCTACAAGAGCAACATGACTTTTGTCTTGCAATGTACTTTTGTATTATAGAGTGTCTATACATGTATAATCCCCACAAGGTAATGTACATATATTTTCGTGAAACACATGTTTACTTACCCTAGCTGTTCCTTTAAGAATTGTTATTCTTGTTACACCACCTTTGTTAGCCTACCACCATCTGTTGATAAGTCACATTCTCTCTCTTCCTCCTCTCTCTCTCTCTCTCTCTCTCTCTCAAAGTTATACTATCATGTTAAATTCCTTAGATTTTTTGATACATAATGATGTAATGCCTCATATAACTACATGTGTATTTACGAATCATTTCTCTATCCACCCAGTTGAGTATACTCGTGTTCAACTGCACAAGATTGAAGGGGTTGAAGGCTCAGACTATATCAATGCTAACTATATACAGGTATGTCTTTCTTCCATGACTACCATCAGTTGCACCCACACACAGCTCCCATAGGTACATCATCATCATCATTATTTATTTATTATCATTATTATTATTATTATTCATTTCATTATTATTATTAAACTGTCTTCCTTTTCCTAATCTTGTTTGCATTGTGTGTATACTGGTATATAATTAATGATGTCTCATATGATCATTCTCTTCCTTGTTTATTCTCTTAACATACATACACAATACTGCTTCTCTAAACCTACACATCATGTGTATGTACATGTGTATGTGGGAACATGAGAGCGTGTGTGTATGCTATTTCCCTCCCTCTCTCTGTTTATCCACCCAATACCATGTACATGTACATGTTGTCATGTGCATGCTGTGTATGTACATGTACATATATGTATATTGTGTGTGTTCATTGTATTGAAAGCAAAAGTCTAATCTCATTTCACTATTTGTCAATAGTGGACTCCATTGTTGTCTATTGTCTCTTTTCATTGAATAAACTCCACTATATGTAGGAAAACATCATCAATACATGCAGCACACACATACACACATGTACATGTATTTTATGTGTCCTCTCTCTCTCTCCCTCCCTCCCCCTCCCTCTCTCTCTCCCTCTCTCTCTCCCCCTCTCTCTCCCTCTCTCTCTCTCTCTCTCTCTCCCTTCCTCCTTTAGGGACCTGATGGTAATGTGGAATACATTGCTGCACAGGGTCCCCTACCACATACAGTTAATGACTTCTGGAGGATGATCTGGTACCATCAAATTGAAGTGAGCTCCTCTTCCTCTTTCCTTATCTTCCTCCTTTACCCTTTCTCAATATTTTATTAATATTAATTCATTCTTTGTTGTTTTTAGATTGTTATTATGGCTTGTAGAGAGGTAGAGATGGCCAAGCCAAAGTGTCAGTGTTATTGGCCACAAGTAGGAGAGAGTGCAATGTATGGGGCAATACAAGTAACCACTGTAAGTACATGGAACACAACAAATGAACATGTACATGTATTGTGTACATGTACATGTACTATATGATACTTGATACATGTACATGTATATCTCTTTATCTCTCTCTTTCATTTTTCTCTTAGGATCATGAAGAAAATGTTTCAAATGATTTTATCATCAGACAGTTAACAGCTGAATGTCAGGGAGTAAGTTCTCCTCTTACTAGCACATTCATGTCATTCATCTACATGTACATTTCTTTCCTCTTCTTTTTCTCTGTAAAGGAAAAACAAGTCATCAGACAGTTTCATTACACGGCCTGGCCTGACCACGGGAGACCCGAATCAGCCACGCCCATAATAAGAATGATTGAGATGTTCCGTGAACATCGTAAGAGACACGACATACCATTTGCCATCCACTGCAGTGCTGGGTGTGGCCGTACTGGCACCATCATTGCTATTGACTTTGCTAGGACTATGCTCATTAAAAAGGTCAGTTGTAGGAAATTGAATTTTTATAAGATTATTCCTAAAATTTTACATGTACATGTACAATATACATACTTTTCAGTTCATGTAGGTGCTGTATTGTGATGGTGAGTGCATGTTTTTTCTCTCAGTTTTCTTTGTCCTCCTACTGTATATTTTATATTATAATTATTATAAATAAATGCATACTTATAATAGCTATAAATATACATGTATTTTTATACATGTACAACATGTATGTGTGTGTGCTGTTTGATTATCTATCCTACCTTACATTTTCCTCCTCTCTCTCTCTCTCTCTCTCCTTTCCTCTTTTCTTCCTCCTCCTCCTCTCTCTCTCTCTCTAGACCATACCTGATAAACTGGATGTATTTTCAATAGTCCAGCAGATGAGGAAGCAGAGACCAGCCATGGTCCAGGCATTAGATCAGTATGTGTTTGTGTACATGGCAATAGTTGAGCTGGTCCAGCAGTCACTGACTAACGTACCACAGCTACCTCCAAGAATGCTAAACTTTGAAAAAGCAGTAAGTATATCAGTTATTATTAATTATTATTGTCATTATTTATTATTATTATTGTCATTATTTATTATTATTATTATCATTATTTATTGTTATTATTGTCATTGTTATTATTATTATCATGTTATTATAGCCAGTTGAGTCTCCAGTCCCCACTAATACTGACGATGCTGTATATCAAAATATCACTTCACTCAACAACGAAGTGAGTTTAATTAAACGAGTGGGCATGCTTTGTGGGCATTAAATAGAGTATAATATCAACACGTTATTTTTAGGGATCGTCAGAGTCAGATCATCCTGTTCCGATGGCTAGGACATTTTCCGGTAGCACTACCAGTGGTAGTGATGGCAACAGGCCCCACCCACCCCCTAAACCAACCAAGCCTAAGCCAGAGATACCAAAAAAGCCGCTTTCAGAGCAGACCTCAGGGGGACTAAAAAAACCACCGCCCATGATTCCAAGAAAAGGCTCAAAACCGGAAGAACTCTCCCACCCTGTTCCTGCCCCACGGAAACCCTCTCCTGTCCCTCCTACTGATGATCCTCAGGTACCTCAGGCTCCTACTGCTCTACCTCGTACCAGCACTCCTAGCAAACCACTACACAGTACACCTTCTTCTGTCAGTTCTGTTAGCAACACTCCAGATAAATCTGTTAGTAAGAGCAGCATACTTGAAACTGTAAGTTAATAACTCTTAATAACTACTAATAACCATTAATAACCACTACTTATTAATAGTTAATAAATGAGGTGGGGCTCCAACCTGATGATCTTGTTGAAGTGTCAAGGGACGAGTCTAAACCTGGTGGTGATTATACTTATGCTTCATTGGGAGCTACTGATGTTCCTCCAGCAATACCGGAAAGGACATCAGAAGCACTTGAAGTTATGAACGTACCTCCTCCTTTATATGAAAGTGCTGAATTGCCACGTATGTGTAATTATAATAAATATTATTGTTATCACATGACTATTATTATTATTATTAATAGTTTCACAATTCGCAGGCATGTAAAAACAATAGTTGAGCTTGTATAATGTACATTCACAGTTCACAACTTCACACACACATGTACATGTACATGTATTTAATTCGCATTTTATTTACATTTATATTGGATTTGTAACCTTCTTAGTTAATTTACATATACATATGTACCTCTCTCTTTTTACCTCTTTTTAGCTCCTCTACCACCAGTACCAATGAATCGTACTTCTTCTCCTTCTTCACTTTTGCCTTCTTCTCATCATCACATTTCACCAACTTCTTCATCAACTGCCTTCTCTGTAGCAACAATGAGGAACACTGACCTAACCAATAAACCAAAGAAAGTATGGACACACCTAAAATACTCCTTATATATTATCCCTCCTCTCTCTCTCTTCCTCTAGGAGAGGTTTTCAGATGATACTAGTATTCCAAGTAGCAGCAAGAGCAGTAGTGTGTCACCAAGGAAAGCTCCAAGGTCTAATATCGCTGAGTCGGCTAATAATAAATACTCATTCTCTGGGAACTATGGTACACATTATTATTATTTATTTATTTATTTATTTTCGCTTTTTATTTTTAGGTTTTGGTGTTCGTGTTGGTAAGCCCAAGGGACCCCGCCCTCCTCCCCAGCAGTGGACTGCAGTGAATGGTATTATACACTAGTGATGGCTACCTACAGGTCCTTTATATGACATTGGATTATTTTACTTCATTCTCTTTATATCTCTTCCTCCTCTTCCTCTTTATTTGTATCGTGTGACTTGTTAGAAAATCAGTTTTTTTAGTAAAATAATAATTTATTGGCTAGTATGAACATAAACATTATAATAGTAGCTGTAAGGAAAATACACAAAAACGAAAATAGTGCATAGAGTGCATGCATATTAAGATATAGAAAGTAATTTTAGTTGTTCTGCTATAGTAGATTTCATTGCTTCCATTTGATATTCAAGCTGCTTTATTGTGTTATCATAATATTGTTGCTTTATTGATCCAATACTTGATGATATGAAGGTGCGGATTTTTTGAAAGTGAGAGTAACTATTATCAGTTGATTGTTGATCATCTTCATTGATGAGTGGAGATGGTTTGGTTGTTTCCTCTGATGATTCTGTGTCTACTTCAACTGGTGTAGTAAGAGCAGTGCTTGTTACTTCAACTGGTGTAATAAGAATAGTACTTGTTACTTCTTTGGGTTCATCTTTCCTTTCCTGTTCCTTGCTAACTGTTGCCTCATCTTTCTTTTCTGATTGCTTTTTGGTTGCCTCTTGAAGAAGACCTTTGATTTCAATTCCTCCAACTATTGCTGCTACACTTTCAATGGTCCCACCAAATTTATCTTTCTTAATTTTGGCTCCATGTTTCAGTAAAAAGCTGATCATATCTGATTCACCTCCTGCAGCAGCATAGAATATTGGTGTCCAGCCAAGAGTATCTTCAAATTCAATATCAGCTCCTTCTGATAGTAACATCTCAGCTACTTTGATACAACCCATTGAAGCAGCAGTATTCAATGGAGTATGACCTTCAGTAGTGACAGCATTGGGATTGGCATTAGCTTTGAGAAGTAAATGGACTATGTCATTGTTACTATGGACACATGCCCAGTGTAGAAGTGTTGCTTCTGATTCGTTACCAATACCAATGTTAGGATCAGCTCCTGCGTTTAGTAACGCTGCTGTAATTTCAATCTCATTTTTTGCAACAGCAATATTTAATGGAAACTTTCCATTTTCATCACAGATATTTGGGTTTGCTTTATTCTTGAGACAACATTCTACCATTTCTTTATTTCTTTGTTCACAGGCATAAGCGATTGGTGTAATGCCATTAGTATCTTGAATGTTAATATCAGCATTAGCAGCAAGTAAAAGTCTCACTAGTTGAGTATTATTTAAAATGGTCGCTATATGTAATGCTGTTTTCCTGCCAAAGCTATCATTTTGTGTGTCAACAGATACTCCTGCTTGAAGCAACAGCTTTACTATCATGTAATCTTTATTTTGGCAGGCTAACATGAGTGGTGTGAATCCATTAAATAATGGAATATTTGGATCAGCATTAAAATCTAGCAATAATTTGACTATTTCTTTCTTGCTTCTAATGCAAGATAATGCTAAAGCTGTATGCCCCTCTATTGTTTGCAAGTTAGGATTGGCTCCTTTTTCAAGTAGTAGCTTAGCCATTGAATAACGCCCATTATCACAGGCTCCTGCTAGTGCACTAATGCCATTCTTATTTTGAATATCAAGATTTGCTCCATTTTTGAGTAAAAGTAAAATAATATTTCTGTGCTGATGAAAAGAAGCTAACATCAATGGTGTACCATTAATGCTGGGCAGTCGATGGTCAGGAGACACACCTTTTCTGAGCAAAAACTCAAGAGCTTCAGCATAACCAGCAGCAGCAGCAAGATGTATTGCTGATCTGCCTTCAGGCCCAATGAACTTGTGTACATTAGCACCATACTCTACTAACAGTGACATGACTTCTGTATTATTTAATGTAGTGGCAAAAATCAATGAATTCATCCCTTCATTCCCCAGATAAATTTCTTTATTAGGATCAGCTCCAATATCTAATAAGCATCTAATTAGTGACAGACTCTTGTGAATCTTGAAGTAATTTATTGCTCCTATTAGGTTTAAATCAAGTCTAAAAGGATTCCTCCAATCATAATATGAAACAGATAAAAGAATATTTCCAAACTGAATACTTTGAATACTAAGGAGGAATAGTTCATTGTATTTTTTACTACATAATATTAGCAGGGAAAGTATTTCTGATTGAGGAGCAAAAAGGCAGACTAAAGCTGATCCTTCTTTAATCGTTAATTTTGTCAAAATTGAACTCTCCTTTCCAAAGAGGTGCTCCAGTAGCCTCCAAAGATGATTCAATTTTACTTTCAACCACTCACCTTCTAACCTTAGCACTATGAGACACTGGTTAGGTGATGGATCAACTGCTTCTGTACTAGCTGCCTTTTCAACTGCTTCTTTGAACTCTTGTATCGTTGTAGATTTTAGCCATTTTGTTTGTGCTTCGTGATACTTTCTCATATTCTTCTCCATTGCCTCCTCAACAAATACGGACACCACCACCTTCAATATCTTATAGTTTATGAAGCAATAGTATGGTTGTAGACAGTTAAATAACTGTCTGATATTTAATGGCTGAGGTTCAAATCGGTCTCGAAGATAATTGGTAGAAAAAGAAAGTACATCGTCAAAATCTGCTTCGTTCTTTAATGCCTTTTCAATGTTGAAGACTAAACTAGCAAACATTATTAGAATGCTGTCAAATGTGACAGCAAAATCCTCTTCCTCTTTCAATGAAATGATTTTTTGAGGTGAATCGACTACTTGAGGTTGTAAATGTGCCTTTGACAACTTTTCAGCTAAATCCTTCTCTTTTGGTATCTTTTCCAATGCTCCAATGATTTTCTTCCAAGAGAGATCTTTAATGTGGTCTACCAAGTAATCAAGAACGTACAGTACCCTACTGTGCACACTGATATTTTCTTCTTTAATTCTTTGAAGGTCTCTAGCAGGAACACCCAGCAAACCACCGAATGCTTCCCACTCTACCAGCTCAGCGAGATGAGCCAAAAGACTGGGTATGGGTATTTTGATACTCTCTTCTTTTCTTAATGTAGAGTGACATGACTCTCTTAAAGCCCCGAGATGTCAGAATGAATGAAAGATGATGATGGTAGGTGCGGTTTAAAGGTGTGGCTAGCTGAATAGCTAGCTATCGATATTAGCAAGAGTGGATAATTATTTAGGGAGAGTGTCTAACGGGTCGTTACTAAAATGCGGAACGTGCGGAACACTACGAAGAATGCGGAACGAGTGATACGGAACGTACACAGATGTATGCGGAGCGAACGCGTAGCGTTCTGCAGAGTGTCTAGAATGCGGAACAGAACCATAGACTATCTATCATAAACTAGAGTAGAGCAGTGAACTACAGGCTGAGAAGCAGAACTTGAATGTGACTGATACTTCAAAGGACTATACTGAGAACTAGCAGGCTGCAAAGGCTGAGAGAGAGCTTGAACACTGGTGACTGTTGCTGCTTTGGAGCATAATGAGAA